GCAGCGGGGGGCTGCCTGGAGCCGTGCCAGGTGCAGGGTCTGCTGGCTGGGTGCTGGCAGGCTTGCACCTAGCACGGGCACCCTAGCCAGCCCGTGCCCCTTTAAGGGCTCCGGGGCCAGGAGGGGGGCAGACAAGTTTCCCTGGTGGTGCCCAGAATGGCCACCAGGGAAAGCTGGGGAGGGCTAGCCTCCCACTTGTTCAAATTAAGTGGCTACACAGCCCTAAATTCGAACTACTTAATTCGAACTAGGCGTTAGTCCTCGTGGAATGAGGTTTACCTAGTTCAAATTAAGCGCTCCGCTAGTTCGAATTAAGTTCAAACTAGCGGTTTGCATGTGTAGCGCCTATCAAAGTTAATTTGAACTAACATCTGTTAGTTCGAATTAACTTTGTAGTGTAGACATACCCATAGCTACTTGCTTAACTTGGCTCTATCATAGCACCAAGATTCATTTAGTTTGATCCGCTGTGTAACACAGGCCATTGATCTTCCCTGAAAATAATTCCTAGAGAAGATATTTTAGAAAAATACCAACTCTCGATTTTAAATATATCTGTGTTGGAGAATACACCAGGGCCCTAGTTAATTTATGCACAAGCCTTGATAAATTTGTCCAATCATTAATCACCCTCCCTGTTTCAACTTCCAGCCATTGGCTTTCTCTGCTAGATTGAAGCGCTCATTATATTTGTTCCCCATGTACAGTGCTTACTATATTGAAGTTTTTCTAATGCTTTCATCATTCTTGATACTTTTTCCTGACCCTTCTGCAATTTATCAACATCCTCCTTGAATTGTGTGCACCAGAACTGGACACAGTATTCCAACAGAAGTTGCACCAGTGCCAAACAAAGAAGTAAAATAAATCTCTCTACTGCTACCTGAAATTTCCCTCTGCTGCTGCTATTTCAAAATAAACTAATTATTCCCCAGTGCTTCCTGGGGCTCTAAGTCGAGGTAGTGTGTCCACAATAATGGAGCCTACCTCAGACTAATTTTGAGGCTCCTCTGAAGTGTGGATATGCTATTTCAATTTTGTTATTTTGGGAATTATTATTTCAAATTTAGTTATTTCAAAATAATTTCCTGGTGTAGACATGCCATTATTTACTTAACTTTGAGAATTAAGGAGATTAATCACCGTGGGAAAAATTAAATATTTGGAAGTTCAGTGTTCTGGTCCTTTAAGCTCCCATATAATGTGCTGAGAGGTTACTCTTTTTCATTATTTAACACTCTTCGAACTATTGTGCCATATGCAAACTTCATCAGTGATCATTTAATGGTGTCTTCTAAGTCAGCAATAAAAATATTAGAGTATAGGGCAATAAACTGATCTCTGTGGGACATCACTAGAAACAATAAACCCTATGGGTATGTCTACACTACCCTCCTAGTTCGAACGAGGTGTACCGGTAGTTCGGAATGGGAATCCTAGTTCGAACTACCTAGTTCGAGCCCTGTGTAGCCGCGCTGCACGGGGTTCGAACCAGCGGGGTTTTAAAAATGGTGGCTCCCCGCTTATGCAAATGAAGCCCGGGAAATTCAAATGCCGGGCTTCATTTGCAAGTGCGGTATGCCTACATTACCCCCCTAGTTCGAACTAGCGGGGTAGTGTAGACATACCCTATGGGACCTGACCATTCTCTGGCCCCCTCTTCTAACTCAATGAGGATTTTATTCTAAAAGTTATACTCCAGGAATCATTTTGGGGAAATTCTATGGTCTGTGTTAGAAGGAAGTTCATATCACATGATGGTTTTTAATGTGCTTAGGTATTTTAAGTATAGTTATGTTGTATTTTATGAATAAACAAATTAATATAAAAGGTAAAATATTAAGAAAAATAGTAAAGTATAAAATGTACAAACATATAAATAGATGTAGATTAAGTAGAGAGACAGCCTTGTTTTTCATACTTAAAATCTTTTTCACATCAGAATCCCCAAAATAGGGAAACTGCTTAGAAATCTGAGCAAACTTACCATTTTCAAGCTGGAGTTGACCTGTAAAAAATTTAATTTGGTCAAGATTTGTAATTTCCTTGTTGAAAATTAGATTTTCATTACCACTGGCTACATAGATTTTAAGGTCAGAAAGTGTCATCACAATAATCTAATCTGATTTCCTGAACATTCCAGATCACAGAACCTCACCCACCCACTCCTGTAGCAGAACTCCTGAAGTTCTCAAATCATAGTTTAAAGACTTCAAGTTGCAAAATATCCATCATTTATATTAATTACAGTCTGTAAGTTGCCCATTCTCCATAATGCAAAGAAAGGTGAAACACCCCTGCAAGGGTCTCAGCCAATCTGATCCTCGGGGAAAATTTCTTCCTCACCCCAAATACGACAGTTAGGCCCTGAGCATAGAGGCAAGACCCAACCACCAGATATCTGGGAAATGTGGAAGACCAGAATTGCACACAGTATTCAAGATGAGGTCTCACTCAATGCCTTGTAAAATGGTCATAACACTTTCTAGCTTTACTAGAAATACCTCACATGCCGCATTCCAAGGTTACATTAGCCTTTTTCATAGCCACATCATATTGGAAACTCATAGTCAACCCAAACACCAAGATCTTTCTCCTCTATAACTTCCAACTGATGGGTCTCCAACTTATATAGAAAAATAATCTTCTTGTAAGTTCCTGAATGCATGATCTTGCACTTTCCAATATTAAATTCCAACCCATTTCTACTACTTCAGTTCACAAGGTCTTTCAGATCTTCTTGTATTCCTACTTGAAAGTAGGAATAAGAAATCCTCCGGAAAAGGGTTTATTTTCCGGAGAATAATGTCTAGACTGGTGCTTTTCTCCGGCTTTTCCCCAAGCCGGAAAAAAGCGGCAGCCATGTTAATGCAAATGCCGCGGGGGATATTTAAATCCCCCGCAGATTTGCCTATTCCAAAGTCTACATTAGCATCCCTTTTCCAGAAAGGGGTGCCAATGTAGACACAGCCTTACATATTTGAGTGAAGTGCTTAAAAGTCATATCTGACTTAATAGATTTTCTTCTGGAATGTTTCTGTGAAACACTCTATAGAACCCCACTAGAAACTCAGACCTATGGGACCTTCCCACTGACCGACCTCCCAGTCAGATTCAATGAGTATCTTCCTTCTTAAAGTGATACTTTAGGAATCATTTTGGGAAATTCTATGACCTGAATTAGAGAGGAGTTCATATTAGATGATGATTTTTAATGTGCTTGGATATTCTAAGCATGATTATGTTATAATTTGTGAATAAACAAAATGATATAAAAAGTAAAATATTAAGAAAAAATTAAGATTAAAATGTATAAATCTATAAATAGATTGAGTAGGGAGACAGTTTAGTTTTTCATACGTAAGGTCTTTTTTAGGTCAGACTCTAAAAAAATAGTGAAGCTGCTTAGAAATGTGAACAAACTTACCATTTTCAACCTGGAGATGACCTGTAGAAAATAAACTTCATCAAGATTTGTAATTTCCTTGTTGAAAATTACCAGTGACTACAAAGACTTTAAAGTAAGAAGGAACCATTGTGATCATCTAGTATGACTTCCTGCACATTTCAGATCACAGAGCCTTATCCATTCACTCCTCTAACAGACCCCTACTCTGGCTAAGTTACTGAAGTCCTCAAATCACAGTTTAAAGTCCTCAAGTTGCAAAGAATCTTTTGCATTAAATTTAATCTTGCAAGTGGCCCCATAATGCAAAGGAAGGTGAAACACTCCTGCAAAGAGTCTCAGCCAGTATGACCCTGGGGGAAAATTCCTTCCTGGCCCCAAATATGACAGCCAGTTAGGCCTTGATCATGGAGACAAGACCCACCAATCAGACATCAGGGAAACATGGAGACCAGAACTGCACACAGTATGCCAGATGAGGTCTTACCAATGCCTTGTATATTGGTTGTAACAGTTTTTGGCTTTACTAGTGTGTCAAAGTTCTGGCCATGGCCCTAGGGTCCTGAGCTTCTGGAGGATAATGTTTGCCTCAGAGGCTTGCTGTGATCCTCCTCACAGCCTCTTCTTTTCTATAGGCAAGGATCACAGCCTACTGAGCTAAACTCATCAGAGTTGGGATGAAAACTCCTCTCCAGTCCTGATCTCCACTCTCATGGGAAAAATCTGTTGTGGATGGGGAGGGTTGCTGGGAATTTGGGCCCACCCACTACTTTGAGTTCTAGCCAAAGAACCCTAAGTCAGTGGCCACAGACAGAGTTTCTTCTACTCCCAGTCAGGCAGCTTCTTCCCTGGACCACTTCCCCCAAATGATCCCTCTCAGTACCTTTCCTCTGGTACCTGATCAAGTCTGTCCTGCTCCTCCATGGCACTCTGCCTTACTTAGAGTCCTCAGTTCTCATTCAGAAGACCTTTTGCTCTCAGATCTTGAGCTTCTGCCCTCTGCAATAAAGCCTTATAAACAGAAGTCTGCTGCTTCTGGCAAGCTCTTCATTGGCCTCAGGTTCCTGCCTAATTATGCTTCACTAGGCTTGACCCTGTTTACCCAGGGAAGGTGAAACTGTTCACCCAGGCTATGTCTACACTGGCAGGTTCTTGCACAAGAATGGCCATTCTTCCATAGAGTGTCCACACTGCCCACCTGCTCTTGCGCAAGAAGATTTACAGTAAAGTGTGGTAAGAGAGGGCTTCTTGCCCAAGAGCTATACTCTTTTCTAACAGGTGTAAGCTCTCTTGTGCAGGAGCTCTTGAGCAAGAGGGCTGCGTGGACGCGCAGCTGGGGTTTCTTGCACAAGAAAGCCCTATTCCTAAAATGGCCATCAGAGCTTTCTTGCACAGAGAGCATCCACATTGCCATGTTCTTTTACACAACTTATATAGAGAAATATAATTCTTGTAAGTTCCTAAGTGCATGACCTCGCACTTTGAAATATTAAATTTCAACTCATTTTTATTACTCCAATTTACAGGATCATTTAGATCTTCTTGTATGATATTCCAGTTCTTTGTATTGGCAATAACTCTCAACTTCATCTCATCTGCAAATTTTATTAATGCAGCGCCTCTGTTAGTGCCAGTGTCAGTAATAAGAATAATTAAATAAGATTGGTTCCAAGACTGATCCCTGAGGAACTCTACTACTAACCTACTTCCAGCCTGACCATTCACTTTTCAATATGAGCTGCGGAAGTCTCCCCTCTCACCAGTTTCTCATTCACTTTTCAGTTCTCATATGAATCCCCTTTTTAGCAAATGTAACAAATAATTGTCCATGTAAAACTTTTTCAAATGTCTTACTGAAATCCAAGTAGATTATATTCCTGCATTTCCATTGTCTAAAAAATTAGTTATCTTTTCAAGGGAGATCAGATTAGTCTGGCACAATATATCTTTTGTAAAACCATGCTGTATTTAATCACAATTGTTGTTCGTATTCTTGGACAGAGATTATATAGGCCTCTGATTTAGTTCCCTCAAACTGTATGAGTCCGAATTCCGTTTTGGATGTGGTAATCTCTGCCTTTTTATCTTTGTTCTCATTATACATCCTACCACTATCCTAAAGCTCTTCATTAGTCTCATTAACAAGTAAGGCAAATTATTTATTTAGGTGTTAGGCCATGCCTAGATTTTCTTTAATCTCCACCTCATCCTTAGTACTTAGCAGTCCCTCTTCTTTCTTTTCTTGTTTGCCCAAATAGTTAACTTCTGGGATAACTAGAATTAGCCTTGTTCAGGGCCTGATCTAAAGCAAAGTAAAATTATTGTGAGCCTTTCCATTAGATTTGATGGGCTTTGGTCAACTCTGAGGTTGCGCATGAAATCTGTGTACATTTGCATATTGTGGAAAGTTCATTTTTGCTATTCATTGGGAAAAAACACACAAAAGAGTGGACTTTTAAGCAGTCTTACTCAAACTATTCATATGCCAGATTAAAATGTTGTACAGCCAAGTCAATTATACTTTAGTGACTGATGGGGAAAAGTCCAATATACAGAAAACTGATTGAAAAACTTCTTCACAAACTGCTATATATTTGAGTGCACGTGCTTAAAAGTCATCTCTGACTTACGGATTTTCTGCTGAAGCGAGCCTGAAAAAGAAAGATTGAATAACACATTTTCAGTTTTTCTCCAAATTGTGTCAGAAAATGTAACTTCTTGTTTTTTAACTAAATGACCAATCAAGTTATTAGACACATCATAGCAATGGAGAGCTTTCTTCTTTGATACTTGTCATAGAAAGGAACTAAGATTGTATTTTATACTGGTGCAATGGGTGAATTTAGACTGCTTAATTCCTCTCTTTCCTCTGCTTGAAAAGAATTTTTTTTATAAATTAATGTGCATTTTCTCAATACCTTCAATAGTTCGATTGCAAAGGAGTGACACATATTGAATAAGTAAATCTTTTCCCCTGTTAAAACAAATCATCTTAATTGCCCCCCCTCCCCGTAGATAGTGCTCCATCTTTCCTGTTTCAGATGAGGGATTCTCCTTGACTCTTTATGAGCAAGTGAAAAGATTTCTCAGTATCACCCTAGTAAAGAAGCAATGCTCACCCCTGTTATCAAAAGGCCAATATTTTTCTTCCATCATCAAACCTCAGAAATCACAGCAAACTTACTCTTTTCCACTTTGAACCAGCCTGCAAAAAACAAAACAAAACAGAACAAAAACCCAAAACACAACCAATATTGTTAATAAATACATTTTATTTTCATTCTGGGGACTCTGTCCTGCCCCCACTGACATCAAGGGGACTGCCATTGTTTTCACTGAGACCAGGACCAGACTCCAACTTAAAAGTTGTCAAACTTTTTGTTGCCATATGTGAACTCTGATACATAACCCATAGCACATCTATCGGATGCTGTCAGCCCTTTCTCATTGATAAATACCCAGTCCCTAAAATTTCTATTAACAGAGAATACTCAGTGGAGAAATGCACTCAAACAATGCAGTAACATTTAGATTCCAACTTTTGCCCACTAATAAAAACTCATCTGGAGTTGTCCATCCCAATCATGATGACAAGCCCCTGTAACCTGAAGCAATAGTATAGAAACATTCCCTCCTCCCATGCCTACCCAACTGGATCATTCAAAGCATGTCTACCTTTGAGTTGTGGGTGTAGGTACCAATGCTTGCCCTGACTCATAGAAATGTATGTCTGGAAAAAGCCTCGAGAAGTCATCAAGTCCAGCTCACTGTCCTGAGCCACGACCAAGTAAACTTGAAATATGTTGGTCCTGCTTTGGGCAAGGGACTGGAATCAATGGCCTCCTAAGGTCTCTTCCAGCCCTATGATTCTGTTTTTTAAACTTGTTTTTAAAAACTTCCTATGATGGTGATTCCACAGCTACTCTTAGAAGCCTGCTCCAGTGCTTAACTACGCTCATGGTTAGAAAGTTTTTTCTAAAATCTTACCTAAATCTCCCTTGCTGAAGATTAAACTCCTTATTTCTGCTCTTACCTTCAGTGGGCATGGATCTACTGATCACAGTCCTCTTCATAACTTCCCTTAGCATATTTGAAGACAGTTATTAGATTCCTTTTCTTCTTTTCTCAAGTCTAAATATGCCCAGTTGCTTTAACCTTTCCTGAGAGGTCTTATTTACTGAATTCCTTACTGTTTTTGTTGGTCTCTATTTAACTCTCTCCAAATTATTCCTAAAGTTTGATGTCCAGAACTAGATACAGTACCCCAGCTGGGATCTCAGCAGCACCAAGTAGTGCAGGACAATTACTTTCCATATACAGTAAACTTTAGGACCCAGGGAGTGCCGAATTTCTCAGATATATAATATTTGCCTTTTTGCATTTGCATCACATTGTTGATTCATATTCAATTTCTGAATCCCTGACCAACAGTCTTCTCTCTCTGGACACCCTATTCTGAAGGCAGTATAAAAGTAATGGTGGTAGTATCATGGTCTCGTTAAAATAATTTTGTGACCCCCTATGCAACTCTCTTTTGGGTCAGGATCAACAATTTGAGAAACATTGGTCTCCTGCTGTGAAATCTGTATATTATAGGATAAAAGCAAACAAAAGATCAGATTTCATGATCCATTACACATTTTTCATGGCCATGAATTTGGTAGAGCCCTAATAATTGCTAATGGTTAGAACAGAGTTTCAGCTAATTTCTTAAGTACGTGAGCATGAATATCATCACGCCCTGCTAACTTGAATATATCTAATTCTTCTAAATATTATTTTACATGGTCTCCCCATATTGTGGCATGTGTTCCTTACCCCCTGTTATTAACAATAAAAATTGTGCTAAGTATCTGATCACCATTAAATTTTTTGCAGACACTGAAGCCGTATAGGCATTAAACACCTCAGCTTCTTGATAATATCAATTATTTAGTCTTTTTCTTTTTATTGCCTTTTATGTCCCTTGCTATGTGTATATCATGTTGTGCCTTAAGCTTCCTGGTGATTATGCTGTTTTTTCTACCACACATTAATTTGTAATGTGCCTGCGTTTTCACTTCTTATAGGATTCCTTTCTGATTATTAAAGAGGTCCTCGTAGAGCTATATTGGCCTCTTACAACTCTTCCAGTCTTTCCCTTATATCAGAGTAGTATGCAATTTGTATGTTTAATATTGCCATCTCAAGAAACTTCCAGCTCTCCTGAACTCCTTTAGCCCTTAGGTTTTCTTCCTATCAATCCTACCAAACTGCACCTACGAGTTCTCTAAGTTTGTTAAAGTCTGCCTTCTTATTTCTAAGTCACTCATTACCCTTGATCAGGCTAGTGCATTAAAAATAAAAATGTGGCCATGGTGGCATGGGCAATGGAAAAAGGCAGAGCCCCCAGCCCACCAAGATCTTGTTTGAAATCCTAGGCATTTACTTGGGTAGCTAGCCTCCCCCACCACTTATACCACTGTTGCTATGCTAAGGGCTGAGGAAGGAGAAGGCCACAGCACCATACTCTGACCCTTCTGGGGATGTGGCGCCAACCCCTCACTCCTTGCCTCCAGCCTGTGGTGGCTGCTGGCTCTGCTCAATATACTGATGTATGGAAGTATGTTAATTAAACCTCCTGCTCCATTGCAGGCACACCCTTACTCAGATTAAGCTAACTACTTTCAATTTCTTAGGTGTCAGGGCTACAGGAATAGTTTCCTAGTATTTTTATATTTCCTTTGTCAAATTCCAAATATATATTTAGGACCAGTTTGAGATGTGGAATAAAGAGAGTAAGCAGTAAATCTGTTCTTCCTTCAGTTCTCTGTATGAATGAATGAGGGAAGAAGGGCCATGAAGAATGACTAAAGTTTTCCCTTGCGTATTATTGACAAAGAAATTATCACTGAGATGTCAAATATGTAGATGTTTTTCCATACCAGGCAAAGAATATTTTATCAACTATAGATATTAAAATATTAAGATGTTAGTTTTCCCATTCCTCTCTCCTTTGCTACTGTCGATATCACTGTTGGTCTTCTTTCCAGCAAGTGAAATATAGAAGTATTGGATAAAGAGTTTAAAAATATTTATAGAAAGAACAAATCTGAGGGATTGCTTAAAATGCAAATTTACCAATTGCATATTGAGACTTTCTGGTGGGGACAGCATGATTTCTGTCTGTGGGTTTTTTAATATTTCGCTAATGCAGCATTTTGATATTTTTGATTTATTAAATATATTCATGAACAGCAGTAGGAATCTGTATTATTTGTTCAGCACCATATTCAGTGAAATTAATACTTTTTACATTCACAGGCTCTCCCACCAAATTCAGGATGTATTCAAAATCTGATCTCAATAATATAAATTTTTATAGAAAGATTAAGACACACCTACCAAGAACAGTAAACCACTTTCAGGAAATTCATGCACTTTCTAATAGCGATTTTGATCAAAGTCTTAATTTTTCTCTAGTGTAACCACACTGACTTTGCTAGAATTTCACATATTTGGCCTCTGCTAAATAGGATACTATTTTGAGAGGAATTGTGGCCAACATTACTACATTGTGTGCAACAGTTCTTGCACTTCCATCACATACTCTGTCCCTCTACTGCTTAAATGTACAGGTATAGAGGTCAATACACACTTACCACATTTCTCTCGCAGCTGTTCTGCAAATGAATGACATACATTTGAATAAAGAATACATGTTCTCACATAGTGTGAACTTACATTTTTTATGTAGATTGATTTACAGTATAGAATTCTTGGAGCTGCATTGTAGCAAATTTCATATGTGTAAGACAACAGTGTAATTAATTAGATCTACCCCAAACCTATTCACACAAGTCAACTATGGTCATCATTCCATACATTTTGATGTGTATTGTTTTTCCTTGTTATTAATAAGTATGTATTCTGACTGATAGACTAAAAGCCAGCACTAGACTTAATTAACCAATTATGTAACCTACTGTTCCAGATCCTATACATTAGATATAACTCTCTCAGGGCTAAGAAATATGTAAGGCTAAACAAAACTAAAAGGAAACAACTAAACAAGCAGCTAAGGGGGCACATTAGGGCTACGTATAGATTATAAGCCTCTTTTGAAAGAGGCTTTTTCAAAAGAATCTTTCAAAACAGCTTATTTCGAAAGAGATTGTCTAGACAGCAACCGGTATTTTCAAAAAAGAGAGCTGCTTTTTCAAAACAGAGCACCCAGGCAGTCTGGATGCTCTCTTTTGAAAAAGCACTGTTTGCATTCAATTACGACTTTTTTTGAAAGTACACTTTCAGAAAAAGGCATTATTCCTTGTAAAATGAGGTTTTCCGCGGTCGAAAAAACTGCCGCGTTCTTTCGATTTAATTTTGAAAGAACACGGCAGAAGTCTAGATGCAGGTGAAGCTTTTTTTAAAAATAGGCCACTTTTTTAAAAAAAAAAACCTGTAGTCTAGACACACCCTAGATGCCCCATCCCAACCTACAGTGGCTGAATATTACCAAAGGGCAGTTCACCTGCGCTGCCCTATATAGGCTTGGTGCAAGACAAGAGGTTCACATTGGTGCCTAAGCAGGTCGAACTGGTCCTTCTTCCAAAATATTGAAAGATGATGCATGTGTCTGATGCATCTTAAAATACTAATATACCACTTTTATTATCACATTGTTTTATCAACATTTCTGTCTTTGTTTTTGTTTTGAAAATTTGTTTCATAATGTAATTGTCTCTTTGAGATATGAACTTGATTCATGAATAGTAGTACGAAGCAGCCATATTCATACAAGCTCTTAGGTTACGTCTACACGACAGCGCTAATTCGAACTAACTTAGTTCGAATTAGTTAATTCGAACTAAGCTAATTAGAACTAACGCGTCTAGAACTAAAAACTAGTTCGAATTAGCTTTTTGCTAATTCGAACTAGCATGTCCACATTAAGTGGACCCTGAACCGGGCTTAAGGATGGCCAGAAGCAGTGCCGGCAGGGCATCAGAGGAGGACTTAGAGCGTGGAGATGCTGTCTCAGGCTAGCCGAGGGCTGCGCTTAAAGGGTCCCGACCCCCACCCCGGACAGACAGTTCTCAGGGGTGCCCCGCTTGCAAACCAGTCCTGGCTTGGAGTGCCCAGAGTACCCAAACTGGGCACATCACAGCACTCGGCCATCAGACCGGCTGCACTTGCCGCAGGCTGCCATCTGGGGAGAGGGAGCAATTGGGGGGCTGCAGGAGAGCTTCCACCCCCAGAAGCCCACAGAGCCAGCCCAGTCCTCCCCATCGGGGGCTCGTACCCCATTCCTCCCTCACCTCCTTCC